ATCCTCTAATTGATATTTTTCTTTATTCTCATTACTTGTCTGCTGGATATTGTACTGATTGTACTGATAGTGTAAGGAGAAATTCTGTCTAGGTCACTAGTGGGACTTAAACAGTTAAAATGTGGGATTTCATTATATTGTATATTGTTCAAATGTGACCAAAAAAATGTGATGAGAATCTGATGTTATGAAACAATGGAAAAACCTGTTGTTAGTAGCTTATGTCTTTAATATGTAAATGTTCATGGGAAATGCTTTTCTTTGAAAGCGAGGATACAGAAGTTTTCAAAGCTGGTAGAAATAAGCTGTTTGCAAGAAATGAAAAGCAAACTGACAATCATACCTTAATGCTTGACATGCTTCACTCAAACATGTCAGTGGTGAGTACCTACCATTGTAGAGGTGTCTTCCATGAAAAATATTTTTTGGTGTGGCTGTTGTTCTTTGTTGATCTTTGTAGCCAAAAAAAGCTGGTAAAGGCACTAAACTTCAATTTTTATGTACACAAGGCACCCTCCAAGGTGGAAGAGTTGAAGACCATAGACTGATGTTTACCAGGCGCTTGCACTCACCACAAATATATATTCAAGCAATACTCTACATGTATAAAACTGATTACATGATGTCTTTAACCTATTACACCCTAATATCAGTATGCATATTCTCCAAGCTGTTCTCCATACATTTCCTGATGCACTGAGAAGGAGAATTTGTTTTACAATCAAGAGGTTCTTCTGTTGATTATCATTTCTTTTATTCTCATGAACTTAATGCTTGATTTAGGGATGACATTGAAAGGAGGAATTAGATACTAGTCACTCTCTGGAGTTAAAGTGTTAATAACTGTATACATTTTATGTGCTCCTTACATTTGTTGGCAACAATAGTTAAGATTATTAGGAAAGCAAACAGATGAACAGAAGTGAATGAAATAAGGGAAACTGTAAACTTTACCCTATGGTAGAAGAAATGATCACAGAATACTTAAGAAAGAAAACTTGAATTGTGCTGGCCAATTTCCTCTATTGCCCTTCATGTTTTTGATCAAATACAATTTAATCAGCTGCAGCGTTTGCTTACAATGTGTTAAATCACCAGTGTGGACTTGATTCTTCTCAGATGTCAGCTGGTAAAAGATGGATACTAAAAATAAACGGCCATAAGAAAAAGTACACATCTTGAAAAAATCACACTAAAGTAGTGGCATGATTGATTTGTGATATTTAGAATGACAGAAGCTGGAAACACACATAGAGCTTTTTCCTATTCACTGGTAAGTTTGTCAGATTTCGGGTTCTACATTCAAACTGTGTGAGATTAAATCTATCCATATCATGCTTCATCGTGGTTTGTTTACATGGAAAGGTAATTGTTATTGTAGCTTCACAGATGTTTTCATTGCTGTTGCAACTAAAATTCATAGCAAAATTTAATTTAACATAGAATGTTTCAAGAACTTTCTTTCTCTCCAACACTATTTACTATTTTTGGAGCACTATTAACCCTTTACACACTAACATCAGTATGCATATTCTCCATACTGTTCCCAATACATTTCATTATGTGCTGGCAGGGAGAGTTTGTTTAACAATCAAGATGTTCTTTAGTTCATTATTATTATTGCCTTTATTTTCATAACCTTAATGTTTGATTCAAGGGTGATATTGAAAGGAGAAATTAGATGCTAGTCACTATCAGGAATTAAAGTGTTAAAGGAAGCAGGTTATTAAAAAAATTATAACTTTGATTCAAGTATTTGAATATGTGAGTAACATTTGATGTTTTCAGATTTTGAGGTAACAGGATGATCAAGCTGAAGATGGCCTCAAAAAGGAGTGAACTCGACTGTAACAAATAGGTCACTACTTTTGAAACTTGAGCACTTGGTAAATACACCTTGGTTTGCAACTCTGATGATAACAGTTTGCTGAGGTAATTGAAATGTCAGCAGGAACCACCCACATGACCTGTACAGTCTTAAGCTATGAGATAACTTTAGGAAAATGCATTTGTGTCAGTGGAACTATTGTAAGTACAGTACCACCTAGTGACAAAAATTAATAATTTCCTGTAAGTATGAATGTTTGGGAGAAGTTATAATGGTAACTGACCCTTTTTTGTTAAAATGCATAGGATTTGATGATTGTAATATATATCTCTTAGCTTTTAAACTTTCAACTTTGTATTAATTGAAACAGTTTACCATATTTATTTATTTCTACCTCAAGCCTTCAAAAGTTGAAGCAGGTTATCTGACTTTCTTTTTTTGGAATTATGTGATTATATAATTTTGCTGTGTAAGTTGCCACATTGTAACATGTAATATTTTTATTTGAATTGCATTAAATACTCTTGCTCAAGCTTTCATTAACACATGGTGTTTCTTACCAATACTCATACCCAAAGTTAACATTGATGTAAGGAATTGGTCACAAGATATGCGAGTTTTAAAGGGTGGGAAACTGGAAAAGCAAAGATTCCCCTTTAATTAGGACTGAAATTAAAGTGGGCTCTGCTATTTTAATTCATGTTTTTACTTTGACCTGCATGAAAGTTAAATTAATTGGCATCTGCATAATGCACAAAGCAAGAAAAGAAATGACTTAGCTTAATAGGTTAAAAATTGAAATAGGAAAGTTGTGCAGACCATATCTTGCCTTTTATCCTTCTCTGGATATTTACTCAAATAACAGAGTCACTATCAGTCTCTCTCACTCTCACTTTCCACTGAGCTTGTGGAGAGATGATAACCTCAGTATTTTTTTAAATGAAGAAAGGAAAGCCTGCCCTCTTACCACAGATAGTTCTTTTGTGCATCATTAGTACATACCTAGTCTTATTTGTACATGAAGTTGATTGTTCTAGGTAGGCTAACCTATCAAATTAGCTGTTAAAATTTCTTTGTTTGACTCAATTTTACCTGACAAACCTAAACTGTATAAATAGAAACTTGAAATTTATTTCTTCTCCTTTTGAGGTATGCATCAAAATTTTGAAGTCATGGTAGGCTTGAACTACAGGTTTATAAGAAATCTGCATGTGTGTGTGTGTGTTCTCAACATATAAAACCAGTAAAAAGGTTGCTTAGTTTTTTCCATTAGTACACATTTCTTTTTCCAAGAATCTTGTTTATTTGGTCTATGCTGAGTTCTAATTTTTCAAAAAATGTTACATTCTTTTGAATATTCTTAGATCTCCTAGTATCAGTTAATATTCATATAATTAAAATAATTACATCAAATCTTGCATATGTTTGGTACATTTTTCCACTGATCCTACTGACATTTCATCATGTGTAGGGATTGGTATTGGCTATAAAAGTATAGTTAAATATTTGTGCACAACCTATGCATCAAATATTTGTAATAAAATGTTTTATACTTCTTAAAACTAGTTTATCAGAATAAGGATAAGTTACTAGGCAGAAGTATGGCTTTCACGATGATAGTTTCCAAGTTTGAAAAAAGTCACTGCCTACTAAAATCCTCTGTTCCTTTACCTTGAAAGCCCAACCTCATCAAAACATTGGCAACAGGAGTGATTAGCAAATTAACAATGCAGACAAGAGAGCCTATTCCCACATACACACTCCCTCAATCCTATTTGCTTACTATGGACCCAACATTTCAAACATGATGTATTTTGTAATGGTGTTTAAAAATTGCGGAAAATAGTTAGGTTGAAATGTAATACAACAACTTGCCAGTAGATAGTCAAATGAATATTTTGTACATATCAATAAAATTTATTGTTGTGTTTCATGTTAACATGTTGCAATAACTCTACCCTCCAGTAAATTCAACTATTTACAAACATGAGAAAATACCATCAAAAACTTTTAAACCCATTTAATATAGCCAATAACAACATCAACTCAAATTTAAAACTAAAGAGAAAACTTGATTGATGTTTGGAATTGATTGCTGTGATGTAAAAATGAAATCAAGGTATTATCTCAAGTTTTCCATAAATGCCTTCATGATCGAATCCCAAGTCTCTCTTCGTCATCGAGTTTTAATCATGACATTTTAGCTCTAGCATGTCTACTTTTAAAGCAAACTTTTGCAGCGCAAGAAACATGTCAGACAAATTTCGTACTTCATTGGCTAGAGTTGCTAAGATCATGGGCAGTTGGCTTAAGGAAACCTACATTGTAAACAGTCACATCAGAGGTTACCGAATAAAAAATAGAAAGAATCTCTAAAAGACGCCGTGTATTTCCAGCCAGAGGACAATCATGAAACAATAAGTCATACCTGGAAACTTCAAGAGAAGACTGAGAAAAGCCCATACGATTCTGGCGTCTTGATTTACTAATTCATTGTTATCACGGTTCACGGTCGTTTCGATACAAAGTCGTTTCGATACAAGCCGTTTCGATACAAATTGAAGTAAATTCGTTACACATGTAAAGTCGCTTCGATACAAACTCACGTTACTTCAAATCGTTTCGATACAGAATACCGTACTAGAGCGAACACAAACCTCCATTGTAAATAAAGCAAACCCATACCTCCGCGAACCTCCACATGTATCCAAGCCTTCTACGCAATGAAAACACGTAAACGAGACTAAGTTCTGGTTTATTTATCGAGAACAGAGATTTATATAAATGATTTTCAGACTTTTTCTATAACTCCAGCGCATATTACGCCTACGATCAAGAAACACAAATAACACAAAAGTAAGTTGGTGAAGCAACGGACCCGTGAGGAAATAGCAGTTATTCTGGCGCGTGGGTAGGCGGCTTTGTAAATTATCATATCAATAGACGCGTAAACTAATTGTTTTAAAAAACTTGCTAATTTTACCCTATTGATAGCAAATAAACGAATCCAAACGCTTTCAACTAACTGATATCAGTGTATAAAACACACTGGGACCTGTAGAATGTTCATTCGATCGTACGATCACGACCGTTAACAAGAGTTTCTGAGTTTTTACGAGTTTTAACAAGTTATCACAGTTATCACGATGGCGTCTGCGCAGATTTGGACTGCATGGTATGCGATGAAGCTGTTCGGCCCAGACAGCAAACCATTCAATGTGATGGATGTTTTCGCTGGAATCATCGAGTCTGCAACACTGGTAAGTTTTCAACACTATTACATGTATTACTGGTATGAGAGGTTGCCGCTTATTTACTCTGACACTTAGAGACCTTTACTATATTTACTTTATCCTAATTTAGATTTTTACTTTGATTCAATAGGTATATCACAAGAAGTTTACCGGGCAGCTGTTCGATATGGAAAAGAAATTGACTGGCAGTGCGCGGTGTGTTCGCATCCGGACTCCTACGCCGATCCTTCCAGTTACCTGGAATCAGGAGCTCTAGAGCTTACCTTCATTGACCCAGAAGAATCCCACCCTGATGCAGAGAGTACGCGAATTGAGAACCCCGAAGAATCCTAGTCTGATGTGGAGAGCCAGTACAGCACTGATCACGAAGAATCCTCCCTTCATGACCCCACTCCAGCTGAGACGTCGTCGTCCTTCGCCGTGACGTACGAGATCGTGGAGAACAGTTCAAAAAGAGGCCGGCCGAAGCTGATAGAAAGCCAGGGGTACAGCTACACCCTACAGAGAAGGCTAGGCTTAGTCACTGAGTGGCAGTGTTCCATCCGCCCCGAAGTCAACCCATGTAGGGCCACAGTTAGACAGCGCGGCGACCAGTTCCAGTGCGGCAACCATGTCCACAACCACCAGGCTCAAGTGGGAGCATTGACGGCGGCCAAAATCAAGAGTTGCACCAGAGTTCAACTCTGGTGCCCGCGGTGCAAGAAATCTACTGAAGGCGTGTTCCTACCTCAACGGCCCAGTAGCTTCATAAAACGGCTCTTTTTGGAGCCGCCGCGCCCTGCTTTCGTCAATTTGGACGATTTCAGGTCGCTAAAAACGGCTCTTTTAGGAGCCACCACATGTGCGAAAGTCATGATCAACGCAAACGTACTGTAGTAATTTAAATAAATATTTGATAAAGTTTGTTCTTTTTGGCCGCGGGGAAACTGTGTGATACAACTCGTTCGATCGAGTCGCAGGAAAACTGGGAATTACAACTACATCGATCGATCGAAAATATCAAAGATGAAAACTAACACACTTCAACTGAACTTTTCTCGATTTTACTTCTGTATCGAAACGCCTTCAGTTTGCATCGAATCGACTTTACATGTGTAACGAATTGACTTCCATTTGTATCGAAACGGCTTGTATCGAAACGACTTTGTATCGAAACGACCGGACACCGTTATCACGTGTATACTATTCAATCGACTAGTGATGTCTAGACTCGAAGTAGTTTACCGTCGTTTCTTTCAGTTTTGGCTCATTTTCCCAAACCAAAATTATCAGTCACGCTCAAAAGAATATAATTTCCACTGATGCTGATATCGCACACTTCCTCTGAAGAAGAAAAGATTCTCCATCTTCGAAAATTTGCTCATCACATCAGGAACAACAACGAAGGTACCGCTGACTAACATGCGTTTTATCGCAAGTTGTGAGAACGTCGTCCTCCGGTTCCAGACCTCGCCAATTCTTCCCTTCCCTCCCCACCGCCCGAACTGGTCTCTTAATCCTCTTGAAGAAACTCTTCTACAGCCAGTGCTGAAGAGTTTGATTACAGTTTTATTATGATGAGGGGCTAGAAAAAGCTCCGCTTTTAGGCTTGGCTAAATCTATAGTCTATAAATCTGTTAGTGTGACTACAGACTACGATTTTACGCCACTTTCTGCGTCGGTATAGTAACTAAACATATTAATACATAATAAAAGTATATCAACGGCGTAAAATTTTGCAGTATATATTTTTCTGACTAAAAGAAATTGCGCGTTTAGTAAACGCTGTTTCAAATTTACCAATCTCCCTGCCAGTCAAACATCTTTCGATGCTGCTGCAATTTGCAAATGCAAACTCTTCGACCGTGAAATATACCGCCAATTTTGGCGCATATATCTTTATCTTTAATTTTCTTTTACGCGCTCACAGCTAAATCAACGAGGACCTGACAAAAATTTATCTGAGGTCTGTCAAATCGCATTATTCATAAAGGAAAAAAATGAAAGCCTCATTTAATCTTGGCAAATCCATCTGCACACGTGTCTTTAACAAAATCTTACCTTGTTTTTCAATTGGAGCGGCCAGATCAGTGCATCCGACGTTTCTTAGAAGCCATACCAAATAGGACACGTCTTCCTGGCAGATTGGCGTAATTAGCTAGGCCCAGCTCAGACGCCGTACTTCAGCCGCGCCTAATCGAATTCGCGATAGGCTGACCTATCTTAGTTAATCCTGGCTGAATTGATTCAAACGCCGAACTTTATTCGGCCGAAATTAATTAATCGAAGAAAATTAATATTCGATCACTGCTTTAGCATACCATTGTAAACATGGCGGACGCCATGGATTCCAGCAGCAATCTGCGAGCAAGAGCTTTTCTTCTGCTCAAAATGCTGGAAAGCAGTGCAAAAAGAAGAAGAAGAAGAATGCAAACCGGCGACGCTTTTACAAACGACCCATTCATGGCAATCTTCGTTTTCTTCAAATATTGAACAAATACTACAAATTGGGATTTTACATTTCAAGCAAGTATATTTGGTCGTGCCCAAACACGAGCAATACATGTCACCATCTTTCTCCTGCAAAACACTACTTTGCGCATGCTCTTGGGTAAAAGCAGCCTAAAAAACTCATTAAAATAATCTATGCATTTGGTTCGGCTCAGTTGAAGTAGGGCGTCTGAATCAAAGCCGGTCTACAGCCGTTCTTCCTGGCTGAGCCAGGCGAGATGAATTGACTGAGCCGATCCAAATTAAATTAGCCGTTCCAAATTGATTTATACGCCGTACTTCACATGAACTTAATTCGTTGAATTTGATTCGGCTGGGCTGAAGTACGGCGTCGGAACTGGGCCTAAGAAGTTAAAAAACTCGCGTTGGTTTTTGATAGGGACAAGCTTTCCTCTTGGCAAATAATTATTGTTGATTTGTCTAGCACAGAGAAATTTCTTTTCCTCCAACTCTTCTTCTGTTATTTCGTCAGCTATATTAACCAAGAAAGCATTGAACTCTGGTATATTTCTAGCGTGTGGCGAAATATGCAGTGATCAAGTAAAGTACGTTATGTCTGACTGACTTCCCGTCTCAAGCCACGCACACGATACCTAGGTGACTGAAAACGATTCGCATGACACCACCAAAATGTTGAGGGTGAGTCTGGTCACGCAGAACGGCCCGGGAAATTGACACCTGACTACATTTGCCAACAAAATTGGCAGCATATATACTTCGCCTACTCACTTTGCCTTAATTGCGTAGCCAAACATAGAAAACCACATCTCTATTTGATGGATTAGACAGCCTTTTACTTCGTATTGTCAGTTGATCATTATATCGAATCATGAGTTCGTGGATCGGTCAGTTACATAATCAGCAAGATCAATGGTGAGATAAATTTGAAAGCGGTTGAGCCGCTAGTGAACATGAGCCAACAGCCATAAAAGCGATACTTAAGTTACTGCCAGTTGCACAGTCTGATTGACCTCTTTTAAATCGAGCAGTCACTCGTGGGTTTTTTCCGTTTTTTCGTCAATCGATTCGAGTCGATTCGAGTCGATCGTTAATGTCATCATTTTATTTTTGCCTTTCTTTTAAAAGGCTTTTGTAATCTTCTTCAGCATCAGGATCCATGCACTCAATTTTCATTTTTCTCATCAGGTCGTCATACTTCGCCCCTCCTAATCTCACCAACACATCTCGACTGTCACTCCAATAGCTGTTGAAGCTGGCTTCATCAATGGATGTCTTCGTGACATGCGCATACAAGGAATTTCTTAAATGCCTCATTCTCAAAATGTCTGCCCCAACAGAGTGATCCGTTGGAGCTGGAGGGTGTCTGTCTCCAACCTGTTGCTGAAGATGACAGGTTACAGATGTTCATCAAGAGCACGCACAAGGTAGAGATGTTAAAATTCTCAGATGAAACCGTTGCGCGTGTGACTGGGTTCATGGAGTCTCACTGTGCTTGGGAAGGATCCTTCTCGATCTTAGAGACTTCAGTTTAGGCATAAAACTGTTAAGTATGACAGGGAGATTTGCAGGTTCATGGATCTCATTGAATTTCTCTCGTAATACCTGGGAGCCCACTTTAATCAGGAGCTGACAAAGTCGTGCATAATTAGTTGCTTCCTTAGTAAATGATATTGGCGGTAGGTGAGAGGCCATAATAAAGGTAGTTTGTAACAGCTCAAGCTTTAACCTGTTAACTGTCAAATATTAAATAAACAATAGTTCATGTAGCAAATGGAATTTCTATTGTGCTCTATGACGAGTTTACGTGAAGTTACGCAAGGGTTACACAACCAAGTGTGGATATTTATTCTTATCCGTATACCGCGTTTTGTTCCAATCGCTAGTATTTGTCCAATAACTTAATTTATCACATAAACGGCGGTGTTATACAGGGATTTCCGGCTCTGAGAAAAGCCGTAACAACGCATAATGTTGATATAGCCAATCAGCTGCTGACACGTCACTCGCCTTTGGCGCCAGTCGTTCAGGTTGATGAATGAACGGAAAAGCCTTCACGATTCTCAATACAAGTTTTTTGTCAGAGCTTTCTCGAATTATGGCGGCTAAAACACGAAAAAAATCCGTATCGCTTACAGACTGAGGTTCAAACTTTCTTAGAAGGGGGAGGAAACCAATATACTTAAAGAAAAACCGAAAGTTACATATTCTGTGACTTTGGTGTCAGTATTTCTCTCGGCTGAGAATGAGAATCAACAACTGGAAGATTTGCCACAAGCCGATTTTGGCCTTTTACCTGAAAAGACTTCTTCTGTTGGTAAGGACAAAGTCAATAAATGAGAATTTTGTAAGTAGAAAATTACGACCATTGTTGGTTTTTGTAATCATAATGCAACGCATTTTTCCATCTTAAGAGTTAGTGCCAACGCACTCTACGATTGTTATTCGGGAATTGTCGATTCATTTATTTTCATTTTTTAAATGAAATGTTTCATTTATTAATGAAGTCGGCTTTCTTCTCAGTAAAGGGCTATTGTGTTTATATGATAAACAAAATAATACATGGTTGCTTGTAGAAATGGAATTTTTCTTTTCGTGTTCAACTCGACATCTCACTCGTGAGCTATCGATTTAAACACTCGAAGAGAAATTCCATTTCTACACGCCCATGTATTATTCTCTATTTATCACATAAACTGCGGTGTTATACATAGATTTCCGGCACTGAGAAAAGTCGTAACAACACACGTAAAAAAATATCGTATTTTTTCACACGTGTTGATATAGCCAATCAGCTGCTGACACGTAACTCGCCTTTGGCGCCACTCGGTCAGTTTGATGAGTGAACGGCAAAGCGTCGCAGAGCGTTTCTTTATTGAATGGTTTGTTTTTTTCAATCCAAAAGTTGTTTGTTTCTGAATTTGCTCGAACCATGGCTGGAAGATTCATTTTCCAAACAGATACAGACGTAGAAAATTTTCTTAACGTTGAAGAAAACAAAAACACAAAAAGAAAAACCGAAGGGTACTTGACTTTGGTTTTGGCGTTCCTCGCGACGGAGAAAGAGTATCGAAAACTTGAAGATCTGCGACCGGCCCATTTGGATACCTACCTGAGCAGATTTTTGCTATCGGTACAGAAAAAGCTTGGCGAAGAGTATGAACCAACAACTCTTAGAGGATTTATTGCTTCGGTTGAACGCCACCTGAAAAAACAGGGCTACAGCGACTCAATGATCACGGGTCAACCGTTCGCCAAAGGTACAAACCACGAGAGGCCGCTAGTCTCGACCAAGAGGAGATTGATCTACTTTTCAAGAAGGGAGTCATGGGAATTCATTCGCCTCAAGCACTCATTAACACGCTGTGGTTCAACAACTGTTTACACTTCGGAATAAGAGGAGGAAAAGAGCAACGCGACCTAAGTTGGGGAGATGTTGTCCTCAAAACCGACTGACACGGTAAAGAATATCTCGAGTACTCAACTGAAATACAAACAAAAACAAGACCTGGTGATAATCCACTAAATAGAAGACAAATCAAGCCGCGAATGTACGAAAACCTTTCAGTGCCCGATGAGCGAAATCCCATTTCAGGATACAAATTGAATATGACTAAACGGCCAAAGGAAACTCTCGTCGATGGGTCGCCATTCTACCTAACGATAAACAATCTTAGCAGAGAAAAGTTGGCCTTGTCAAGTGCGAAATGGTTCAAGCCTCAACCTATGGGAGTTAACAAACTAAATACCTTGATGAGAGACTGTGCGAAGGCAGCTGGTCTTGGAACAGATAAGCAAATCACCAACCATAGTGCAAGGAAAACGCTTGTGCAAAAACTGCGAGACAGCGATGTTCCTCCGACAGAAATTGTCCAGATAACCGGCCATAAGAATCTTCATTCCATCAATAACAACAGTTCATTGGGAGAAAAGTAGCAAATGGCAATTTCAACCCTCCTGTCGACAGCATGTTCAAGCACTTCTGTCTCGCAGCAGCTTCAATCGCAAACGGTGCTGCAGCCGGTGACACTACAAGAATTTTCTGGCACGCTCGTGCCCGGTAAAAGTCAAATGTTCAAGTCTCTCTTTCAAGGAAATTATATTTCTGGAGGAAAATTTAACGTTCATGTTTCAACTTCAGCTTCCACCAGTACGATGGTCAATGAAAGTCCACAACGGAAGAAGTAGTCAAGAACTTTAATGGTTTTGTACTTAAAACAGATAACTGTCATTTCTTGAGTGAAAAGTTACATCCACTTCTTGTTTGTTTCTTTATATTTTTGGAATAACGATTCACCGTGTTTTTATATCTTGATCCTTATAACTTTACGCTTTTTTTCGCGGATAGTGGATCGTAAATGTTTGTTTACATTTTTTCATTCATTAATAAAGTCGACTTTTCTTCTCAAAAAAGGGCTATTGTGTTTATATGATAAACAAAATAATACATGGTTGCTTGTTGATATGGAATTTCTCTTCTCGTGTTCAACTCGACATCTCACTCGTTCGCTGCGCTCATTCGTGATCTATCGAGTTAAACACTCGAAGAGAAATTCCATATCAACGCGCGCCCATGTTTTATTCTCTATTTAGCACTCTGGATATATTTTTTTAGACCACTCTAATGCCTTTCTTTCTCTATTCTTTTAATCCTTTGCTTTTTTTGTCACAGGACTTTGCGGAAAGGGTAATGGAAATAATCATTATAGGTGCATAAATGCCTATTTTGCTCGTAAAAATTTCGAGCCAAGGGTCAACAGCAAAAAATTATGAAATGTTACAGGTGATGAATTAAGCTTTAAAAGCTATTTTCCTCAGTTCTTGTCGTTGAAGACTGCACACACATTTTAAGTTTTACAGACAAAAGAAAGAGAAAGGTTGTCTCGACCCGGTCGGGAGGAATGGCATCGTTAAAAAATTTGTATAAGTTTATTTTGTCCTTCGTCTAAACTATGAAATCATCTGCTGCCGTAAGCTCGCATGAACTTATATCGAATAATTACTCCTTGAAGCTCTTTTCCTGTAACCATTATGTAATCACTGCAGCATCATCGACCCTCCCGTTTTGTATTAGCTTCCCTTGGGTCATAAGTCAGATCGTAGCTCAACGAATCACTATAGGATGTAAGTAGTCTTACACGCCCGGAGCAGTTTGAGCTTCCTTCGTGCTGGCCGTAGCGGCTTGTAAACTAAATATCGCACTAGCACAACGCAAAATGGTTGTCACTTCCGGCGTTGATTTTAATCTAGCTTCTGCATAAGTATATCATTCGTTGAATTCGTGGTAAATTACATGAAAAACAAATTAAACTTACCGAGATGGTTTACGGTTTCAAAGATGGGACTTTGAACGCTTATCGGGCAAGTGCGTCGTTGTTAGCGCTATCACGTTCCAGTTAATTTGTAAAACTTCAATCATTTACGTATTTCCAATTCCTAGAAATCATTAAACATTAAAACATTTGGCCTGTAAGCTAATTGTCTGAAATGTAAAAATTGATTATGATATCTTTGTTTAAATGTGTGGATGAGTCACACGCGGATTCCAATCTCCCGTTTATCATGAAGCAAAGATCAACCAATCAAATCTTGCTTACCTTCTTGAAATCGGAAGAGGGACGTTGAAATCCCAAAACATATTTTGACCAGTAATCGTTGTTTAGGAATTATTATTGAAGAGTTATCGTTAATCTGAAATACAATTACAAATTCTGATTAGATTACTGTTTCCACGAATAACTAAATAAAAACCCAAAAATAATTTGCGATCCCGATTTTCTGGGAAAATCCAGAGAAATTTTGAAATGGCGAAAAATAACCTAAGTGATCGTGTCGTCGGGATGGACAACGAGATGACACCCTTGAACAGATTCATTTATTAAGTACAAGCTCACCAATTATTCAGGATAGGATTTATATTAAAAAAATTACGATTCAACAAGTTTTTTCGGATGCAAAAAACAAACACGTTCTATGCAACTGTCAAACTTCAATATTTTGACGGAAACCTTAGAAGTTGTTACCAAAAGGTCTACAACTGACTGACAGAATATCAGCAAACTTATATTCACGGAGACTGTGATTTGTGTGTTCGGTAACATTGTGTTCCTTGTTGTTAGCGGTATCGATCGAGCTCTGCGAGATCTAACTCATGAACGCCACACTTGAAAGACTCTTAAAATATCTGCCTTTGTTTATTGGCTGCAAACATCATTCCCGACCACCATCAACATGCGCGAGGATCGTCTCAAATGGTAGGGATGCAATCGACGTTAACTTGAACACGTCTCCCACTGGTCTTGCAAAGTAATATGAGCCAATTCCCCGCCTTTTCCCACCATTTTCATGAAGACTCAACTCGAGCACATGGAAAAAGGCGACGTCCACTCCAAACAGTGATATCAGAAGATTACTAGAGTTAATTGGTGGTAGAAATGACATTATTCATAACTTTGTAGCGCAGGACATTACCGCAGGAATAGTTTCCTGCTCTATCTGATGCACAACTGATTCAACTTGGCTTAACAACGTTAGGAAAGCGGCAACTAGTTCGTTCTCTTTGCAGACATTCTAGCACAAGAAATGGTAGGCTTGCATTTTTTTAGTTCGAAGCTTAATTGATAAATGCAACTAAATACTAATTCTTGGTTACGTCGGAATAAAAGACCTCTCTATGAAGACATATATTTTGGTAATGTGTAAGATCCATGTTACACTTTCATGCGAACCGCAACAGTGGTACGAAGTCCTAGATTACATTAATGGGAACAAAATCCGGTCGAAACTTTCAAAATGTCTTTTTTTTCTCTCTCTCTTATTTAGAAGCATTATCTAAGTTTTGTTTGTCGAAAGAATAATACAAAATCTTTAATTGAAAGCGGGATCCCACTGAATCCAAACAGTTTGCTGAAAACGAATAGTAAAAGGTGTTATAATCCGGAATTCCCCAGCAGAGTGTTGACGTTTTTTCGCAGACTTTCGTTCGCGATCTTTATTTACATAATTCGTTTATATTACGCATTGCACCTCACAATAGAAGTGAGTTTGTCACATATCCCAAAACAGTGAGAAAAAAGAGTATTCATGAAATGGGCAAAAAAAAAAATTTCTGGCAAAAGATTTTGATGAAGCGGAAAAGTCTGACCTTGCTCTTTGCTTCTTCGAATGATATCTTTTGGCTTTATTAAGCCCATTCGTTTTCCCGAGGAGGTCGCGAGATGGCCTTTCCCGCGAATGAACGAGTTGCCAATAATCGGATCCTTGTGTTTACGCAAAGATTTCTGGAATCGCCACGGGACAAACATTGCAACTTGTTAGAAGGAAATATATGGCGAAAGGTTGTTTCGACGCCCAAATAAAGGATTTTGGAGAGAGATCAACGCTTTTTGTCGTAGTTTTATCATAAATGGATTAAAATAATGTTGATGCGAGGGAAGAGCAAGTTTTGTTAGAAATATGTGTATAATGGAATTGTGAAATCGTTGTCCTGTAATGGCCTTGACATGTTACAAAATTAGCCTTAAATCGCACGGATGAAACTCGCTTAAGTCTTTTCAGTTGTATCTTTTTATGTACAGCCTGTTTTTATACTTGTTAACGTTTTAAATAAACATATTACGATGTCTGAAAATATATCTCCTCCAAGGAGAGAAGACGTCGTCGGCAGAGATGAAAGTTGTTTTTACCAGCTGTTGCTCTTTGGAAGGATGAAATAGGCAATGTAAAACAAAAAGAAATCCCTTTAGAAAAATCCAAAAGTTTTTGAGCTGCCAATCATCTCCTCAAACTATTGGAAGGATCTTGTCAGGAAAAGCAAGATCAGGAGAAATCCGGCAGAAAATATGAACGTATATATATTCAGTTGTGCATCGCTCCTTCAGGGACCTATTTGTACCTACTCATCGTCGCATAAGAAAGGGCACAGTTTTGAGCCGATTCTCAACGCTAGTTCGTTCTCACTGATCACAAAAAGGAGGCAATGTAGGTGTTTAATCCCATAATATAACACGGTAATATTCAATGCTCTAGCACACAATTTGTATTACCAAGCCAAGAGGAAATCTAAATGTAGACTTAACACAAGTAAATAATACTGAAAAGGCTTTATTCAGTTATTTCTTGATTTAAAACTAATATTTTTAAAGTTTGAGATCATTACGCGATGTCAATTTCACTAAACCCTCGCGCATGGAGAAAATTAATCGCAAGATCTCACTACATATTTCACGGTTGTTCAAACAAAACCTAGCGCTACCCTTTTATCAATATTAACCACACCCATCTCTGATAAAACAGCGGCGAAAAAACTATGATCTCTAACCAAAATCGTTTTTTTAGACGTCGAAACAACCTTTCGCCATACATTTCTTTCTAGCGAGTTGCAATGTTTGCCTCGAGGCGATCCCAGAAATCTTTGCGTAAACACAAAGATCCGATCACTGGCAACCCATTCATTTCAATGGACCCCTTTGTCACAAAATTCGCTAGGTTTTTGGTTTCGAAGTAAACAGCTAAAACACAGAGTTGAAGTAAAATCATGTGCAACAGCTAACATATAACTATTTACTGGGTATTTTAATACGAACGGATCGATTTGTTAATGAGTGCATACTGTCGAATGACAACAACCGTGATCAAAAGAAACAAGAGATAACCACGGAAAAGAATTTTTAATTTAACGCAATTTCTTGTTTATGCATAAGCTTCTCAGAAACTTGACCCGAGCAGTCCATCCTTTTCGGCGCACTCCGTCGCGTGAAGTAAAAAAAATTCAGTCTTAGCCCTTTCACTCCCACAAGTGATCAAGACAGAATTTCTCCTTACAATATCAATGCTATATCAAGCAGCTAGGTGAAGGGAATACAGAAAAATATAAATAATGGGATTATAAGTTGATCCAATACCAAATTCTCCCAACTAACATCATAAGAATTGTATGGCAGATAGTAAGGAGAATTACCAATAAGATCTTGGGAGTGAAAGAGTTAAGTTTCCAGAGTTCCGCGGAACGCGCTAACATCAAATTTATTTTTCCACTGACCTTTTTTGACCCGCGTGACGGACTTCACCGAAAAGGAGACTACTCGTAGTCTACTTACAAACATGCATTGTTGACAGAAAAGTATTTCCCCGGATGGGAAAAGCTAAATCTGCTTCCTCTTTTTGAGTTTTGTCGGTAGCAAAGTGTTCGAATCTAATTAATCCCGCGTTTATTTCCCACTTTTTCTAACTAGGGAGTCACCGGAATGTACAATTTTACCTGTCTAATAAGCCGTACCTTTTCACTGGACCAGTCAATGGAAAATAGGTCACTAAATTTTAGTGGTATATACGAAAACAGTGGTAAGCGTTGGAGGTGCGCTCTGATTGGCCACTCATACTCCGAATATCCTTTGCTATTCACCTCCGAGCAATGGCCGCGGGATTTGCGCCAATAAGTACTGTAATCGTTGCAGGACTAAAAGAGTTAAAATCATCTTTTTGGGCCTAAGTATCTCGCTGTTTTAGTATATACTAAAACTACTAGTGTCGATGTCTAACGATGGTGATAAAATCCACCATTAGCCACCTCCATCTGAATAGTTGTTAACTAGCCATGAAATTCAAATCTCACACATATCCTAACCACTGAAAATCAAGGAAAAATCTATCGGAAGTTGGTTGCTCAGGTTCAGTTTGAAGACAAGAAAAATGAATGAAATTAACTTTAGTTTGACGTCCGTCCTGATACTGGCTGAGTCATGGCTGAGTTTATCTCGTCTGGGAATCAGTCCTACAAATCAGGGCCAGGTTGTGTTAAGGTAACCCAGGGTTAGTGTAAAATCTGCTTTCAGATCTGAAAGCTATAAAAGAAAATTCAGTATTATTCCTTTTGTAAACAATTTAATGATTGAATGCCCAAATAAGAATAAAGGGAATTATCTGAAAAAGGCTTCAAAAAATTGAATAAAGAAACATGGATTAAAATTTAACCATGGGTTAATCTAATCGGACTTCGAACAACCTGGCTCAGGTTTAACTATGTTTGATTATTTGCACAATTACTCTCTGAATTGTGCTCCATAAACTTCTCAATTTGAAAATAAATGAATAGTAAGAAAATGCAATAATTTTAAATCCTTATGGGTTTAGTAAGAGCATTGAAAGGCTTTTTAGCAATGACTGAAGTCATTTTCTTTTGAAGTGTAACAATAAACTTTACTTTTGTGGTATGTCAATATCAAATCACAATACCGAAACACAATACACACGATAGGGATGAACCAAACTATAAAAATCGTACGTAACGATGATAAAAGAAGGCAAAAACTTGATTTTTACATTATTCCAATGAATTTAAAAGATTCCTTGCATCACTGATGAGATACCGGTTGGCCCTAAGTTTTGTATACATGCTTCAGTCTGTTCACCAAGACCCAAGAGGTTTACCTCGAGTTTCGGTTTGAGAATGTGTAACTAACGAGGATTTGATCCTCGTTTGTCCATCACATCACTCCTTTTGCTCACAGTGTCCTTCGTGATCTTGTGGTTGGGGCCCAAAATATCGTTTTGAATTACTAAGGCTTCATCGAGCTCCTCCAAAGCCTCGTCGAATTGTCCTCGAAGGACTAAGACATCGCTTAGCTGAACGCACGAACGAGCTGTATCCTGATGATGACCCAACAGCCTCTTTCGTAGCTCTTGAGCCTTCCTGAAGTACCTCTCTGCCTGTTCGATGTAATCTTGCTCAGAGCCTTTAGCCGCAAGGGACTTGTACGAGTCAGCGATGTAGGACAAAACTGAAGCTGTCCAGGGGTGGTCACCAAGTTGCTCTTCGTAAACTGGAAGGGTGTTCTCTTTCCATATAGCGATTGCTTTTTGATGATCACCACTCAGTCGATAAGAAACTAACGAAGTGTGAAGAAAAGATATAACTTTTACATAGTTTAATGAATCCTTACCGCGTTTCAAAAAGAAACAACTGGTTTGAAGAAAGAGACTCTGATTCAAAGCCGGTACGCGTCGAGGGTGATTTTGTCAGAGAATATAAAGCTTGGAAGCCGTAAATTTTTTAAGGACTATTTCTCAAATGGCTTAGAAAAACTACATTCCTTCTCAACTTAACAAAGTCCTCCCCATATCACAATTTAACTCATTGTCAGACTAACCAAGGAATATCAACCTTTTCGACCACAAGGTTCCTAACTTCGAATATTTCCTTGCAATAGCACCTTTTGAATCAAACATTAAGCGCATGAAAAATAAATCAAATGATAGCCAATAAAAGAAGCGAGATCTCGGCTGTTGACTAAAATTCTCCGTATCAATACCATTGGAAATGTTTTAAAACAGTATGGAGAATATGCATGCGGATGTTAGGCTGTAAGGGGTCAAAGATTCAGTGTTATTTGTTTCACTTTCGCGTCGAAGCCCGAAGATCAGACCATTCCCTCTTGCTCCATGAAAATAAGACTCGACAAGATTCCAATACATAAGATTAGTATGTCCCCTTTCCAGTTCTCATTTAGCTGGAAATTTATTTGTTTTTCTCTCGGTTTATTGAAAGAAAGCGCCCAATTCGGAATTTCACAGTGCGCTTTGTCGTCTTTTAGCCTTCATTAAGTCTTCTACAAGGATACGCGGGTGTTATACGGAGTGCAACCCAAAACATTTACTTACTTCCAAGGTCACAGTTTCCAGCAGCAACATACAAACGGTCGCCTAAAGAATCTCTTATTAAAATTCCTTCCTGTATGAGCTCTCGTCCTTTTTTTTCTTCTCCCTGAAAAACAAATTACTCTCGTAAATATCCGGGTCCAGTCTACCTTAGTGGGAGTGATGCTCCATTAGAATTGACGCAAAGTCATCCATTTTCGCCATTATTGATAAAGTTTCATTAGATTTCTAAAATCTTCGGTAGAAGAGGAGAACTTGCACACTTCGCCTTGGCGTTAGATTCCCATGAGCCCCACATAAGAGGGATAGTACTTAAAAAGGAAGCCACTGAGAAAAATTCTCCTTAAAAGGGAGGGATAAGAAGGAAAATCAAAACAAAAAACGACACACAGTCCTCTTTTATATTTACTATGGTCTCACCTGCAGCACAAAACACACTCCCAGCTTACTAGCGGTGTGCGCATGCGTTTGGGACTTTTGATCCTCCTCTGATAATGTCCTGCGCATGTCATATGCTTTCTTAAACTTTGCAAGTGTGACTTGGTTTTCTTCAGGGCTGTCTTTGCTGTGAGACACGTCACAGAGACGACGGAATCCCAGTGAATTCAAGCTCTCTGCATGCCTCCTCTTATCGCCGGACGCTTCTGCGATATCACAGCATTTCTGGTACAGCACTGTGCACTCTTTAGGGGGTGTTAGAACTTTTGCCACAAAATCCAGCACTTCTGTACTGTTGACGACGTCTAAAACGAAATTCTTGTCATCTAAATCGCAAGAGTCTTCGAAACAATTCTTCAGCGCTTCCATGACGTTCGCTTTCTGCTGTCGAAACTTATGGATCGCAATCAAAGCAGAATTTTTGCTGATAAACTCTTTGCTCCAGACTCTCAGCTGACCAAGGTAATGACGGTTAAATTCACACTGAGTGGCGCGCAACAGGTCAGCCATGCCTAGAGATTCTTTCTCTGTTCGGAAGTAGGCTCGGACCAAAGGATGCATCCTCATTTTTCCATCGGCGTCCCTCTGAAGAAGAGCATACTTGACCATCCTGGTCTTCACTGTCTCACAGTGTAAAGAATCTTCAAAAAGAAACTGAATGTCTTGAGCTGAGAACTCCGATGGGAAAACAGAAAAAAGGACAAGATTTGTTTTTACCTCTTTAGAAAAAGTGTTAAAAATACTTCTAGTGTGTTATAAACATCGTTCGCACTGATCCTGAAAAGTCGTATGGGATTATTCCCTAGTTCTTGGATTAACAGCTCGCGACTAAAACCATTGTTCAGCGAGTCTGAACAGGTCACAAGTAGGAGTGGTATTCCACCACATAATTTCGCAAGTTCCTTGGAGTGTTCCTCACTACAGTCATCAACAAGACTCCGAAGCAGTGTAGCAGATGAGTCGGGATCCAAAGGTTTGAGACGAAACGTAAACACGTCTGCCGACAAGAATCCAACATCTTTTCGAGTAGTGATTATCAACTGTACATTCGGGGCAGATTTCACGAGCCATTTAGCGAATTCATCAAATTCCTCGCCCTGTATATTCTCTGTATTGTCTAGTACAATGACAGTTGGGATATTTCGCTCCGACAGTTTACACTTCGCAATAGACATAAAATCAGCGGTTGGCGACCAGTGGCGACTACTTAATCGATGAAGAATCTCACTGCAGATGTCTGCGAGCTTCTGATGATGACTTTCTACTCGAATATGTGTTATAAACTGGTCACCTCTTTCCTTTAACAAGTGACTTACACGGATTCCCATTTCAGTCTTCCCCATTCCTGGGATAGAAAGAAGAACAACCATACGAAAGGTCTGCAGTTTCTTTTCGATTTCCTTTACTTCCGCGTCTCTTCCAACAAAGTGTGCGGTTAAATGCGGAAGATTTCGAGGCAAACCCGGCGAAGACGGTGGACCTAAAATACGAAAAAAGAGGAAAGAAAAAGTTTGAACCGATACACGAACGGCAGCCGACCACAACTGCGTCCCAAAAACAAGCCGAGGATATCCCAATGGAAACTTAAATATAAGACCTTAAATAGGCCCTTTAAGATTGTGCTAGCATCATTTTTGGCATAATAAGATAGATGAAAAAATTACGCGCGTCTGATACGCGCATCTGAGAAGGAAGATTTGGCTATCAAAATGAATATCAGGGAATATTAAACAAAACACAAGGGCATGTAGGTTTTTCAAAGTGGTCTTTGTATAGACAAGCAGTATCCATATCTGGGAGCTTCTCCAGGCAGAATTCAAGTTTGTAAGTGTTGTATCAAGACACTTTTGGAGGTCAAGAGCATTTTTAACAAAAAAAAATCTTCAACCCCATGTTGGGGCAGCTCATTGCCTTGATGAAGTGGCTGGCAAGTAGTATGTAAACAAATAACTTTTTGGAACTATCGAATGCAAGGACAGCTGGCTTTAGCTAGATTGGAACAGTGTAATCTTATTATTTACACTCCTAAGAGAAATTAGTGATACCTGTAAAATTTGACATAGAAGTGTGGGAGAAAATGGTGGGAAAGCATCAAAGTTCTTTAGGAACACATGGTGCCTGAACTCCTTAGTGGAAAGATTCATGAAGAGTTTACTCACGCCTGACTAAGACTTTAAGAACCAGGATGGAATTAAAGCACCTTCTATGTTAAAATTAATTTAATATATATACTCTTACAAGATGCAAAATAGTCTTTATGGCCTAATTACAGGTTAGAGGATACAGTTGATTTGCTTGCTGTGTTTTGATGTCAAGGAAGATATGTCAGTACTCATAAATGCATTGTAATATGACAGAAGTGTAAATGAGCGTGGTATCACAAGTTTTTGTTAGCCAATAGTGTTAACTTCAGTGGATCAATTGCGAAAGAAAGTCTTTTGTTAGATCTAAACTAAACCAACAGTTCGAAGTGATTAAAGTAGGTAGGATAATGCTGAGAGATTACTTTGCATAATGAAGTTAGTTTTTTTTCAGTTTGTTTTTTTGATATGTTAGGAGAATACTGGCGAGTTTTTCTCTGTAAGTGGAGGTAGAATATTACAAAAAGCAGCACAAACTATTAATACTTTATCAGCAAGAGGCCTAAGTGGTATAAGCAGATTTTTTATTTATTGCGATCCCAGTATCAGTTTCTCGGCGAAAGTTTTCAAAATATTAAATATCACCATTAGACAGGCCAAAGTTGGAAATCCGTGGAGAATTTCACGGATTCGTAATATCCCTGAAAAGTTTCCGTTTCAACACTGGCATGTTATTGAATTCGTTTTCAGGTGTTTTGTTATCAGCTCTTAACATCAATTCATTTTTTATCATATC